ATGCATTTTCAGTTTAGCTTGTTAATCTAAATCTAACCAAACCAAAGTTAAACCAAAGATGAAAAGAGTTCAGCATGATACCGATAAAGTTATGGATGCTGTCGAAAGCATTAAAAAGAAAGAGATGTCTTTTCGACAAGCTGTCCAGGTGTATGGCATTCCACTTGCTACGCTATATGGAAAATTCAAGGGCAAGAGTCCTATTGAGGGCAACAAAAAAAACCTCTTGACAACAGAGGATGAAAAGCAACTGGCCGGTTGGCTTTTAAACCTAGCTGAAAGAGGCTTTGGGAAAACCCACGAGGAGGTACGAGAAGCGGCCAAAAAAATACTAGAAAAGAGGGATGCAGCTGCAAAAATGCCAAGCAGGAAATGGTTGCACGGCTTTTTCAAGAGACATCCGGAGCTCTCAACAAGAACTCCGATGTCTCTTGGAAAAGAGCGTGCATTGGTGACGCCACAGGCTATATCAAGATGGTACGCTGAGTTTAAGGCTTGTGTCGACAAGTTGGATCCGAGCCTGTTAGATGACCCTTGTAGGGTATTTAATGCTGACGAGACTGGCTTTGCTTTTGATGTTAAGGGAAGAAAGGTGGTAGCCTGCAAAGGTGCCAAACACATGTACACTGTGTCATCAAACACAAAAACACAGGTCACGGTGTTGGCGTGCGCAAGTGCCGCCGGGCAGTACCTACCACCCCTTCTGATTTACCCCTATAAAAGGATTCCATCCAAAAATTTACTACAGCAATTCCCAGACGCTCTGCTACAGGTATCCGATAATGGATGGATTAATTCTGGAATTTTCCACATTTGGATCCGGGACTGTTTCGTCCCAGCAACAAAAGAAATCCCCAAACCGGTGCTTTTGCTAATTGATGGCCATACAAGCCACACCTCCCTATTGGAAACATCACAGCTATGTCAAGATAATGACATTACTGTCTGCACCCACATGCATCGCATATTATCCAACCTTTGGACCAGGCATTTTTCGGTGCCATCAAATCTGCCTGGGCAGATGCGCTGAAAGATAACATGAGGTTGACAGGTGAAGGCGTGAAGTTAGAAAGTTTTGGTAGAATTCTAAAGCCCGTGTGGGAGAAATGCACCACAGAAAATAATGCATCAAAAAGCTTCCTGGCTGCTGGGATTTTCCCGTTCAACCCTGAGAGTAGGCATTCCGACTTCCGCTGTTTCGATTCGGTATTCAACATCCGGACTTTTTGATGCAGTCTTTATAAAAACTCGCCCTTTTCCGAAGAATGCCGAATCTCACTGTTGGAATCGAGTTTTTAGAAATATTCGATATAGATATTCTAGTGTAGTCGTATTATATGTTTCAATTAGAAAATTACCGCCATTATGACAATCTTTAAGTCGAAATCGATCGCACGATTCTAACGAATTTATCTCGCGAACATGTCCCGTACGGTGCTGTCACATTTTAAATAAGTTTACGTATTAAACACATTATAAGTGTCTTGCCATTAGTTTTAAGTGTCCATTAAATAAACAAATATTATTATAATAACGGTTTTATGGCATTTACTACTTCTGCTTACGAGTTATCATACATGTCAAATCCCCGAGCTAGCGCTTCGGCCTTGACAACGCCATGGCGTCGGTTTAGCACCGCATTACCTATTATCGATAAAATACGCGCACTAATGCCAATGGCGTAGTTTTCGAAGTTGGAAAGAATTTAAATTGTGGGTGGCATTGTTAAAACTAGATAAAATACATTGATCAAGTTATCTATTAAAAACGACAGGCAAGAAGCTTAGGCTTACATTAACTAATGTCAAGCATTTCACACATATCTACTTACTTAGATTTAAGGCTAATACTAAAAAATAGCCTTTAATATACTATTATACTTATAATATACTTTATACTATAAATAAGTTATAGGCCTATTTCTTAGTATAACTAATGCTATATACTATATGTATCGATTGATAAAGTAAGTCTGGGCCTATTATTGGTTATGATAAGTAAAGAAGCTTGGTGATAAACTTATTTAATTATTTGTAATAATTATGCTTATGACATTAGTAAATAATAAACAAAAGGTGCAGCAATTGACATGGGGGGGGGGGGGGGGTACTAATTAATAAGGCAGTGAATTTAGAATGACATGAAAAAGGCATAATAATTATTATTCATAATAATTTAGGATACAATTTTTACATTTAATAATAAAAAGTAACAAAAAACAACAACAAACAATACAGATTTAAATCACTGCATGTTGCCAATATATATATTCATATAAGCAGATAGACAGGGAAGCTGTAACTTCTGATTTGGTACAAATTAGCTTAATAAACTTTTACAAGAATTTAAGGTTTTTCTATTGATTAGTAATTTAGTTGTACCAAAATATCAATAGGGCCTTATAAAGGCCCTAGTATATTAAAGTAGTTTCCCTTTTGGACCTGTCAATCCATCATCCATAAAGCAGCTGAAGTAGAGTTTATCTGTTTCTTGACCCATGCACATGAAGTGATGGTGTGGTTTGCTCTCTGCCAAGCTATCTTTACTTTCCCTTGGGTCAGGTACTCATCTGAGCTTGGTGGATGCTGCACGCTGCACAGACAGACTCGTCTGAGATCTGAGCTTAAGACTTGCATGTTAGTAGTTGAGTGCTTTACCACACCATCCCTAGTTTTATTTTTCAGCATTCTTCTTATTACATGCTTCAGTATCAATAACCAAAATGTATCCTATCTATTATAGTAACATTCTGGACATACGTCTGTTGCAGTCACTATAATTACTATAAAAGGGTGCAACACCCTTTCACAGGACTTTTTAATTATATGCAGTCATACTTAATATAATTTTTTTCTATATTTCTATTTCCCCCACCCTCTAGCAAAGTTTCAATTTTAATATTAAAAAAAAAACATAGACTTTCAGTCTGCATATTAACCTATATAGAACAGCACCCCTCACTTTAATTTGACTTGATTAGTTCTAATTATCCTTCATCAAATTTTGATTTTACTTTCATATTTCTATTGCCCACACTCTCTAGCACTAATGTGCAAAGTTTTATAATTATATCTCAAATACCAGCAGTGGTATGCAAGCCTAAAGCCAATCACACAATTAAATCCGATGTTACAGTGATATATAACAGGTTTAATACATAACTTTAAAAATTCATATAAAAAAAACTATTAGGCCTAGGCCTAGAATGATAAATTTGGTATTTTTATCAATGGGGTATATTATAGGATTAATCTGTGTACATGTTATCATTCTATGGTAATTAGGAAAAATATCCCAACATTCCTACTGAGAGGGTCCTCCAATCTGGAAAATTTGGCCCTAACCTTACCTATCAACCCGTCCCATCGGGTGATGCTGATAGCAGTGGGGGTACCAGTTTTTAACCTACAAGCACAAGTAGTACAAGCAAAGGATCGCAGAATAATGAGAATATCTCTCCTGCTGACAAGATTATTCCCGCTCAGTGAGCGGCTCACGTTTGTTGTACTTGCAATGTTCGATGTGTTGAGCGTAGGGTAAGCTACCTAATCTAGATCTACTATTTCAAGTAGTATTACTAGATCTAGAGGATACTAAAATCTAGATGAATATATTCTAGATCTAGATAATCTAATAACTAATTGATCTGATCTAAATATACCAATGCTTTTTAATTTTAAAATACTTCTCTTTCAGTAGCAGACTAGGCACTAGATTCTAGATCTAGCCTGATCTGCGGCCTAGGCCTATCTGCTTCTAAGTTGCCGCTACCTTGCCAGATTTACACAACTTTAAAATTCTGCAAGCAAAACAGGTGCTTTAAAAATTGAATGTATAAAAACCTTTATTATTATGGTAATAATCTTTTAAACGCACTGAAAAAAAAATGAAAAAAACATCTCCCTTTAGTGGAAGCATTGATCGCGCCAATTATTATTATTGTAAGATATTATTCCCAGTCGCATTTGGCGTGAAATGACAGGCGACAATACAGCTATTTCCTACCCGCAGTGAATAGCCTTGGCCTTTATTAAATTTTTATTTTCTGATTTTTAGAGCAATTAAAAGCTTAATTTAATGAGCAATTCGATATTTAAGTTATAAAAACAATTATATATATTTTAGTTAAAGCGTTACCCCACGACTAAAATATATTTGTTTTTAAAACCTGACCAGTAACTCTGTTCTGTCTTTTAAAAATTAGCCTTATAGTAGTCCGCAATCGGAATGAAAATGTACGTGAATGAAACTCACTTTTTAAAAGCTTTTATTTAACTCACTTCCTCTGTCGTCAGTCTGTCGTCAGCAGAGTTTCTTCCAGGCATCTCTTCGGGGGGGGGGGGGGGACCGCCCCCCCCCCGAAGAAAGTCTACCGCCCCCCCCCCCCCCCCCAAACGAAATGGAGTTTATATAGGAAACATGTACTTTTGACAGTGTCCGCCCCCCCCCCCCCCCCCGAAAATTGTTGTCCGCCCCCCCCCCCCCGAAAATTTCAAATGCACCCCGGAGAAAAAAGTCTGGAAGAAACACTAGTCGTCATCTGTCGACAGCGTGGGTCAAGACATGAAGACAATACAACATGACATTTATTTTGACTTAATTGGTTGCCTAATTAATTTTTATGAATTAATTAAAATTTTGACAAAATTATTAGGCAGCCTCACCCAACTATTCCGCACTATTATAGTATAGACATGATCACGTTCATTAGGTGCGCAATGGTTTTTAGTCATGTAACTTTTAAAAATGTCAAGTACTGAGAAAAAAATTTCATAAAAAATGTTTTAATAACAAGCTTTTATGTCCTAATGCACTAAAAAGTAGAAAATAAGTTATAGACTACCATTTAAATAACTATAAAGAAAAGCGTGGGTCACTTAAGTAATTATTGGAAACGTTTACTAATGAACTAATGTTTAGGAAGAGACCCACGCTCCTGCAGTAGCCGTCTCCCGTTGTGTTAATATAAGAACATTTTGGGGAGATCACTCCCGCTTTATTTATTTTGTGTGAAAATTATTGTTCTTAAAAATAGTGATATTTAAAAAGGTAAATTAATTTTAAATAACTGATTTCATATTATGAACTTATCTGGAAAGGAAACGCTGTGAGTTGGTCAAAGTTGAGTTACAAACAAGACTAAGACATATTATAGATTCTAGATCTAGGTTAATAGATAAAAACTTATACAATTGAGCTGGTTATATACTTGAATCGACTTGAATAAATACTAAGAACTAATATATTCAAAAGAATGCGAAAAATTAAGCAAATAAAGAAAATAGTCAAGAAAAACAAAAGAAAAGCATCGGCCAATTATGAATTTTCCAGAAATAGCTGGATTTGTGACCTACCACATTTCTATTTTAATCCGCCAATCATTTCCTTTGCTTTTGGCAACATAACCTATAACCCTTCCGAATGTTTACAAAGTTAGTGCGAATGTAACAATCTCTCGAATTTTCTGTAACAAACGCGAATTCGTTTCTCATTGTATAAATAAGGGATAACTAGTCAAAATAAAATAATTCAGAAATTCCTGCCTTGAACGTACTACCAGAGCTAGCGTTTGAATTCAATAGGCTACTTGACTTGTTCCTGAAGTTTTATCTCTGGTTTGCAGTAACAATTCATTGCATTTCATTTTGCAATAGTTCCAGTTAAAAATGTTTGCCATTAGTCCACGTTTGTGTGATGACCACAGTTTACTCCGTCTGGCCGATGATTTAGTGCATCCTTGGGACATTTATAGATCGCCAATGTTGTTCAATTTGGACAGCGCACTTTCTAACGGCCGTCTTGGCGATTCAGAGGTAAGTAAAGTACCCTACCTACTGGACCTACCCCTACAGTACTACTTTGCTAATTTACTATGTGACTGTACTTTAAATTAAAAGCGCAGATCGAAATAAGTTTTCAATATCTGTTGACCATCTATATGAATAAGTTCGTAGGTCAATTATTTTCTTAAATCAGCACAATTTTGTACTTTAAAAAAATGCCATAGGTGCACAGTGCATGGCTATTAAATAGTCTGCCTTGAAAAAGCATATCAGCCACACTTGATTTAAATTTTAATCAAATTTTTATTTCGATTTGTCAGGTTAACATGTTTTGAGACAATCAATTTTTATGACATCAATTGTATGACATCAATTGCATAAATTTTATTTGCATCAGCTCAGGTCCAATGATTCAAAACTATAAATAAGTTTGGTAAATAAAAGTGCATTTGTCGTTTTGCAGATTTCTTGTTCTTAGACTTGTTGCTCTAAACAAATTAGGTGGAAACTGATGTAACTAAAATTTCGGAAAAACTAATTTAAGATATGTATATTTTTGTCCTTAAACGAACCCCCCCCCCCCCCTCTCCCATTCTTACAGGTGAGAAGGTTGGTCTTGTGTGGCGATTTATGACTAGGGAAAGGTTCAGAAAATGTTTGTCACACTTTTAGTCTTTATGAAGAAATGCTAGATCTACAGGCGGAATTTTAATTTTAAACTATTTGAATCTGAAGAGCTGGTAGGCTGAAATGTCATTTTATTTTTAGTTAATGGGGGGGGGGGGGGTGGGGATAGATCATAAAAAAAATGTGAAAGGTTCATGTATGTCCCATATCCAAAAAAAAGGCTTTGATAATGTTCCCTTAAAAACCCACTGTACCCTATGCATGATCAAATTGTCCCTTAGACTAACCATAATGTAGAATATTTACAGTGATTATTTACTTCTATTACAGATACAAAACACTGACAAAGAATTCAGGATTCGCTTAGATCTCCGCCATTACAGTCCTGAAGAAGTAAAGATTACCTCAGACAACAAAAAGATCACAATCAAAGCAAAGCATGAGGAGAAGCAGGACAAACATGGTTTTGTGTCTAGGGAAATGATCAGGACATATGCACTACCAGATGTAAGTGATCCATTTTATGATGTAATCATCCATGTCTACCCCAGAGGCGTAGCGAGGGGGGGGGGGGGGCGGGGGGTGCGGACCGCACCCGGTGACACCATTTAGGGGGGTGACACCAAGGCTAAAAATGGCAAAAAAACTTGAGGGGTGGGGGTGCAAATCGAAAGTTTGTCCCCGGGAAGGGTCTTTACGTCTCTGGGGCGGGGGGGGGGGGGGGGGGTGACACCATTAAGTGCCACACAGGGTGACACCCAACCTCGCTACACCACTGGTCTACCCAAATATACTTTACATACTTTTTCTTTATTAGAAAATGCCTCAAGATTATATTACTATTTCTGTTTAACATTCATTTACATTTTTTTAATCCATAGGATGTGGATGCAAAGTCAGTAACATCAACAATGAACTCACATGGAAAACTTAGTATTAAAGCCTCTAAGAAAGCTATTGAACCACCTAAAGAAACTGCAGTTCCAGTGGAGTTTAAGGGACAGTGAAAGATGGGGTCTTCAACTTCTTATAGTCCATGGAATATTATTGCTTACATCCCATTTGTTTCATACATGTCGACTGCTATTGGTGTTTAGCTGTCTGTTGTGTATTTTTTATAATTGACTTTTTTTGTAACTTTGCTGAATAAATTGATGTTAAATATTATAATGCTATTTTAAAACCTTGTCTTTATTATTTAGTGTTGATCAAATGTTGTGTTATTATATACCATCTCATTTTAATTTCTGGGAATTTTTAACACCATACAAAACGCATCATTTAATTTAACATTATTGGTAGCCCCAATGATTAGCCTATATAATGCTGCTAGTCACAAAGTGGGCTTTTACCACAGTAGTTATAATTGCATTCACTTTATATTGTAAACAAAGAGTAGGCCTTAACCAAATGACCAACTATTGTATCTTACTTAACCTTGGATCTATGTGTAGCCGATGAGTTCATCTGTTTCTTGACTATAGCATAAAATAAGAAATCATGGTGGAGATCAGCGCAGTGAGCTGCAGTCTTTAATTCCTCTGGTTTAAATCAGGTGCTTATCACTGGTTGGTGGACTTGGAACTAAGACTTGGCGGCTTACCATTTGTAAGCTCTACTAACCAAACACAGTCCCATTCAGCAAACAAAAAGTTATTTTTTGTAAATCCAGCTGAAGCAGTAAACGATTTTTTTTCCCCCAGACACAAACTTTATTTGGGCTCAAAGCCATATGCAAAAAATTAATTTAAAAAAATAAAACAAAACCTTAAGGTTTTCTTTTGTATGGACCATTTGCTATGTTATTGCACAGCCTATGGCACTATTTTTTTTAGTATGGGGATAATAGGATGTAATAATAATGTAAAACAAAACAAATTTTTAACACCTGTGCATAGGCTATAGGCCCCATTTTTCTGTGTGGGAAAATACATTTTGTTTAAAGGAAACATAACTCTGATAATTTTGTTGGCAAAGAACTATTAATTGTTACCTCCCCTACCTCAACATTTTAAACTTTTGCATCGCCACTAAGAGTAATTGTAATTTATACCTTAAACTATAGGCCCTATGTATGTATATTGTAAAGTTTCCCTTTCAAACCTGACGGTCTATGGGGCAAGTAGAGTTCACTTGTTTCTGTGACCTCGGCATATGAGGGGATAGTGTGGTCAGCACTATGCCCAGCCGCCTTTACTCTCCCTAACGTGAGTTAGGTACCCATCAGAGTTGGGTGGACTCAGGGACGGTCTACTGACTTGAACCCGGATTTGAACTCGAGACTTAAGGGTTAGCAGTCCAACTCTCTACCGCTTTATATATATATATATATATATATATATATATATATATATATATATATATATATATATATATATATATATATATATATATATATCTACTAGCTGCATCCCGTGCTCCGCCACGGTAAATCTTTTTAAAATATACCAACTTTGGAACAGAACAAAACAAACAAAAACACAACACAAACACAAACAAAACACAACCACAACCACAACACAACCACATTACAACCACGACACAATCACAACACAACCACAACACAACCACAAAACAACCACAACACAACCACAACACAACCACAACACAACCACAACACATGGTAAATCTTTTTTAAATGTACCAAGTTGGGAACAGAACAAAACTAAATACAACACAAACGAACGCAAAGAAAAAACAAAAACGAAAAAACAAACACAACACTCAACATAAACTCAATTTAAATGTAATCATAAAGGCATATTGCTCACAGTCTATCCCGTAGCGCCAAATCGCGCCCTTTCCGAGCGCCGGCGGAATATTTCGATTTACACCCTCCCACCTCCCTCAAACTTTCGATTTCCACCCTCCCCCCCCCCCCTCTTGCTACGCCTCGGTTATAAAACCCCTAGCTTTTCCGCAAATAAATTAAAGGCAGTATTTAGAATATCCGTGTTTTACCGACCATATTGCACTTAATAAATTCATGCATTTTTTTCAGTACTTTTAAAAATTTACAATAAAGTTTCATGACTAAAACCATTCCGCACCTAATGAACGTGATGACTTAATATAGTAATGGAGAATAGTTGATTAAAAATTATAATTAGTAAACAGTACATTCAGTGAATAAAATAAATAAAAGATAGCCTTTTATCAATCAATGCTAATAATAATATTCCAACAATAATGTACTCTTACACGTCAGCATAATTTGCATTCACATTTTGCTAATTATATTATTCGAACAATTATTCCGTCTTGCAGATTTTGCATTCACATTTTTAGCGTGAGTTCAATTTATCTTTGAATTACCTCCATTGGCAAAATTACTAAGCAGTTTAATTAGATTTTTCTACCGTACTGTTATTATGTTATTAATATGTATCCACTTTTTCTGGGAATATTAACGAAAACGATATTTGACATTGATCCTTTTAATATGTTTTAGCAATGTGCGTGTATTTAATATTCTCTTTACGTTATGCAAAATTGTACAAACAGTGGAAATTATAAAATAGCTCTATGCCGTTATATAAACAAACCTTACTCTATTTCTTACAATAAGACACTGCGGTGCACTGAAAAGCACAGCATGGTGCGTAGTTTACTTTTATAGTCCCAAAATCTATAGCGATGACGGACTGACACACGCTCAGCCCGCTTATATTATATATATATATATATATATATATATATATATATATATATATATATATATATATATATATATATATATATATATGTATATATATGTTATACCTGGGTCTATGTGTCCCGCAACTATGAAGGCAGAGCGTCTACACTACACTACCATCATATTCTGTCTAGCCATTCAGTAGTTCATCCCAAAGCACGACGACATCAAGGTATACAAATGATAAATCTTTTTTAAATGTACCAACTTGGGAACAGGACAAAACTAAACACAACACAAACGAACGCAAAAAAAAAACACAAACGAAAAAACAAACACAACACTCATAACATAAACACAATTTAAATGCAATCATAAAGGCATATTGCTCACAGTCTAGATATATATATAGATGTATATATATATATATATATATATATATATATATGTAGCTAGGGTGGGCCTAACTACTAGTTACAAATCTGATAACGAACGAGAAGCCGAGACGCAGTATTGCAGTCTGACGCAACCGATAGCAGGTGGCTTATTGAAGTCGGACTGATAACAATATCAAAGCCAACGCGTGCTATTTTGGGAAACGGTACGAAGAGAGTCAGAAGGCCTGTCAACTTTGATTGATAGGATGCAGATGTTATTTCACGGACTGTACGCTAGAACTGCGTAACTAGTGGTCGGAGACATCGAGTACAAGTATCGATTACGGAGGAATACAAGTATGCAGACGAGTACGGATACAAGGCATAAATAGGAGGGGACGACTGAACTCGTCCCCTTACGGCTCTTACGGCTCTTACGGCTCTTACGGCTCTTACGGCTCTTACCGCTCTTCCATCTTCATCGCTCGCTTTAGATCAGTCAGTCTGTGTGACATACTCAAGTTGGTTATATTGTGTTAAGAAGGACAATAGACATGTGGATTCAGTTATATGAAGCCTAGTGAGGACTGTTAGGGGTCAGTTGATTCAGACTATTATTGTGAAACATTTCTGTTGATTCATTGTGTTATATTGAAGCATTTCTTGATTCATGTAATAAAAGGATCAATAGCGAACCTGCATCTTCGAGTCTTTCTACTGTAGTCGATGTTGTGTAGCATGAGTGGTTCAACTCGTTACAATTGGCGTTGTCGGGCAGGATAGACTCGGGGAAGGTCACATTTGGCGTTGCGAACAGGAAAGATGCAACTAGCCTAGGTCACATTTGGCGTCGTCGAGCAGGATGAATTCAACTAGACTTGCCGTTCTAGGCACCCATAGTCAACCTTGTGCATAACTGTGTTTTGTGTGTATGTGAATTCGGACATTCAGGAACTGTGAAAAATCGAGGAAAATTTTTTTCATATACACACGGTAAGAAAGAACTCTTTTGTTTTACTTACGGAATAAAATGTCTACTCTGGACGAGAAGCAGACCCATATAGTGGTCCTACCCAGAGAGTCCCACATTAACAAATTTTACGGGGACGGTGATCCCACTTTAACCAACAGGTTCAGTGAAGAGGTCAAAGCGGCCTGGGCCTCGAGAGGCATGTCACCAGAGGAAAGATTAAGACTACTGATGGGCAGCATAGGAGAGACGGTTAGGGCAGAGGTCAAATGCCACGATAAAACCATCCAATCAGATCCAGATAAGGTGCTGGATCTGATTATGGAGACCTTTGGGGAGAGACGGTCGGGATCGCAACTGCTAGCAGGGTTCGTAGGCTTGAGGCAGAGATTGGCGGAGAGTGTGATGGAGTACTCACACCGGATGAATAGGGCCTTTGATTCGGTAAAGGTCAAAACACCGGACATTGATGTACGCCTACTGAGGGACCATTTCATTGAGGGGCTGGCAACCCCGATCCTAAGAAGAGAGTTGAAAGAGGAGGTCCACAAAGACCCGCAGTTGACCTTCCTTCAGGTCAGGAACTCAGCGATCCGCAGGTCCGAGGATGAGGACCAATCGAACTGTTCGGTGGACAAAGTCTCTGTGCCTGAACAGAGACAATCCCCACCCACAGGGGCCGACACGATGGAGACCATGATGGCTCAACTGTTGGCCCACCTAGATAAGGTTGACCAACGTTTGGAGAGGTTAGAAAGCAGGTCAACAGCTGAGAATCGGGAAAAGAACGGGACAAAACAGGGACGGGTTGGACGGCCGCGTCCGGCCAAGCCATCACTCCAATGGACGGCCGACGGTCGACCAATTTGTTTGTCTTGTTCACAACCCGGACATATGGCACGGTACTGCCAGGGAAACGGTCGTCCTCTGTAAGGCAGGGCCAGGCTACAGAGGGGCGAGGGTATGGCCCAAGAAGCAAAATGATGGGAGTCTGTCCCGAAATGGTGATTACGATTGGGGACATCGCGGTGAAGGCAATTGTGGATACAGGCTCCCAGGTGACGACAATCACGGAAAATTTTTACACCAAATGGATGAAAGGAAAAGACCATAGGTTGAGGTCTGACACATGCATGCGCCTGACGGCAGCTAATGGACTAACCATTCCATACTGTGGTTATTTTCTGGCGG